CGGTGCTCTCGGTGTCCCCTGCCTTAGCCCGCAGTGCCGCCTGCAGCCCGCAGCTCCCAGCAGCCCCGGCCGCCCCGTCCCTCCTCTGGGTATCAGGCCTCCTCCTGGCCAGAGGAGAGCTTTGTTCCCGGTCAGTCTTGCCCCTTTGCTCCTCTTTGGGGTGTTTTTTTTTCTTTTCTGACATGAAATTGGGATCTCCAGCAGGAGGAGCTGAGCAGAGTTAGTGGAACAAATAGCAGAGAGAGAAAATATGCTGGCGAGTCATCAGAAGGTGACCACAATACCTAAGGACAATGATGACAGGGGGATGTTGCTCTGTCTACAAACCCTCCTCTGCCTGGGTGTCCAGGCTCTGTAGCCAGGACCAGCAAAATCTATGTCAGGTTGTGTGTCTTGAGTTGGCGTCTGAGCTGGTCCGTGTGTTGGGGCAGCTGATGCCAGTGCACAGGAGCCTGCCCCAAGCCCCCTCAGCCTCTGACAGCAGGGACCAGGCTGCTGTGCGCATCTGTGGCGGTGGTGGGGCTGCTTGGACAGCTCTGTCTGTGAGCAGGAAGGTGGGTAGCAAGTGAAAGGTCTCACATGGCTGTACCCATCTCACCTGGCTGCTGGTTTGGTCTCTCTCCTCCTCACTCTGCCCAAATTTCTGGCTCACATCTCTCACGCTGGGATCTCCAGGATGTCCTGGAGCTGCTCGCAGGCCAGCAGGTGCTTGGGAGTGGTGACCCACACTCTTGGGAGCTGGTGCTGACCCCAGCACACGGGTCGGTTCTTGTCCCCCCTGTGCAGGAGCTGACTCTGCGTCGGTCGACCCTTTGGTGCTGGAGCAGTATGTCGTGGTGGCGGACTACCAGAAGCAGGAGAGCTCCGAGATCAGCTTGTGCGTGGGCCAGTTGGTGGATATCATTGAGAAGAACGAATCAGGTACAGAGAGTTTGGCTTGGCAGAGGGCTTCGGGTCTACTTGGCGTCACAGAGCAGGGGCAGGAATAGCAATCTTGTATTGTCAGTGTTTTCCTAATAGGACCTTAAGCAAAACAGCCTCCAGGCACCTCACGGGGATGTCCTTGGATGGTCAGTTGAAGTGGGATGTGGAGGAACCAGCTTCAGGCTGTAGGCCGTCTGTATGAGCGTGGAGAAGACTTCAGGGCTGTCTCTAAAAGAAGGGTCTGATTCCCCGTGTGCTGAGCACCAGGCGCCGTCCGTCTTCTGCAGTCTCTACTTAATGCTTCTTCATGCTGAAAAACTTGGCCATTGGGTCCTGAGGACAAAGCCATTCCTGGAGCTGGCAGGCTTGTTTTATTGACAGTGGGGGACGATCTCATGGTGCCCATGAAAGCCCCCATTGTGCGTTCTTAATTCCTGCCTCCGAACACGATGAAGCACCCGGCCGTGGAGCGGGGGCAGGCAGCCATTCGCTGGCTTCAAAACTTAAGCTTGCTCTTAACCTCTTCAGAGGCACCGGGTCATGTCGTGGGCCCAAAGCCTGGTGTTTGTTGAAATGGGGAATTTAGTCCCTGAAGTTAATAGGAGTTGTTTAGGGGGATTTAAAGATAAATTGTGATAAATTCTAGAAACGCGATCCCCAGAGGATTACTTGCTCCAATGGCTGTGTTTGAGAATGGGGAAAATAAAAGCAACCCTGAAGCAAGTGAAACCTATTAGCACAGCCAGTTCAAAAGATATGGCAAACAATGTATTTATTAACTGTCAGCCCAGGTTTTCCCTTCCATGCAGGTAGCTGCCAATTCCCTCCCCAACAATCTTAGTTGTCTTTCTAAATAACACACTGGTGAGGTTCTGAGGATAATGCTCAGTCTTTATTTTTTCCCCCTTGAAGACACAAATAGCATGTGCTTTTAATAACTGAAGAGCACACATTTATTTTGATTGGACACCCAGGGTGGCCCAGAATTGCTCATGGCTGCTATGGAGCTGTCTAGGTTTCTTCTGGGAGAGCTCATGTTTTAATCCTGCATTTGCTCTTTGCTTTTAAAATTCGCTGTTTCCACAAATGTAAAGAAGGCGAGAGCGCAGCAGGAGTCAGCTATCGATTTGTAGACAGCGTATTCATCTCTGCTAATTGGCCTGGACTTGCTGACCCAGACTGAGGGAAAATGAACCATAAAGGGAAAAAAAAAAAGGAAAGCAAATGCCGTGGCTGGAGCCATTCAGTTCTCAGAGTCTCTCCCATTTTTTGTGGGGAGGGAGCCATGCATTTAGATAGCAGTCAGCTGTGATTCCCCCGTGCTGCTGTCTGCGCTCCCTTTCAGATAGCGCTTGGCTCTGTTGCTTTGGGGTCACTCCAGCCTTCCTTGTAGGTAGCAAGGAGGGGACAAAGCCCCCCAGGCTCATGGTTTGGAGGGAGGGAGATGGTTTTTGGCTGGTGGGAGCCCTTGGCTGAGCTACCTGCTGTTTTATTCTCAGGCTGGTGGTTTGTGAGCACATCAGAGGAGCAAGGCTGGGTGCCAGCAACCTGCCTGGAAGCCCAGGATGGTGTCCAGGATGAGTTCTCAATGCAGCCCGAGGAAGGTAAGAACCTGCTGGAGACATCTGCCCCAGCTTCTTCATGCTGAAGTGCACTGAGCTTCTTGCAGTACTGCTTAGCCCTCCCTGACTTGGGCAATGTAAGAGCCTAGGGAAGGACAAACCCACACGTGCTGTTCAGCCATGCCTGCCCATAGTGGTCCTGCCTGGCCACCACTCTGCTCCAGTGTTGTAGCAGGAGTGGGGCAGCTGGTTACTGGCAGTGTAACTGCTGGTCTTTCTGCTGCCTCACAGAGGGGCTGAAGGTGCTACCTCCAGGAAACACCCAGTTCTGCCATCCCAATGCTTCCTTTAGGCCCCAGGGAGCTGTTTTACCTGCAGTGGAGGAGGAGCAAAGCTCAGGTCCTAGAACAACTCCCTTGGCTTCTAAACCCATGCAAAAGAAAGAGCATTCATGAGCTCACTTTCTGAGAACAGCAATGTTGCAACCTCTGCTTAGAGCAAATCTGAAATGCCCTGGAGAATGCATCCTTCCCCTTGACCGCTGTGTTGCTCAGAGCTGTAGCTGGCTCAGCCCCTTGCCAGGGGAGATGGAGGTGGAAGGGGAGGCTCAGACCCGGGAAGGAGGGCCCAGAGGGCTCCAGGTGAGTACAGTCTCTGTGCCACTCTCTGGTGTCAGCCATGTCTCCTCTAGGACCTGAAGTGCCACCTCCTTATATCCTCTCTTGTCCTTCTCCTGCTTCCCCAACATGCTCTTCCCAGTCCCATGGAGATACTGGTCTCTGCCCAGGCACGTTGGCCGCCGTCGGACTCTTGGGGACTTGTACAGCAGTCGATGGGGTCAAGGTGGACTTCATAGAGACTTGTTCAGCTGTCCATGTTTTGTGCTTGAAGCCTTGTTGTCTGCATGTTTGTTCACTTTGCATGTGATGGACCCTGCTTGTGTCAGTCCTCAGTGTGTGCCATACATGCTTCTCAGCCTTCCATTAGGCCCACTCATGTCCACCTCTCTTTCCTCTATCAGATGTTCCTTCTAACTTTTTGAGACTTGTTTTGTGTTCAGGGGCTGGAGTTTCTGCTTTCCCCCAACACATATATGCAGACTGCTTGCAACGGCTGCCTTAGTTCCTGTAAAAGGAACTCCTCTGAGCCATGGCCCTGGGGTTGGTGACTCAGGAGAACACCCAACTTGGTTTTGCTGGATGTGACAGGACATTTTCTGCTTTGACTCATTTGCATGAAAGGGTGGGAAATCAGGCCTTCTGAGGGCTGTGCTCCTCCGAGAAGACAAAGCCAGGAAACATGCATGGTAGGGATATATGAGTGTCCAGAGGTGTAGGTTTTGGAGATAGATTTTTCCCAAGATGGCCTTCACCCTATTATGCTTAAGTATAGGCAATTGCTTTCCTGGGTTTCCTCCAGAGAGGATAGGACAAGGTTAAGGAGAGGGGTGGATGGATGGACCTGTTTGTCTGACATGTTGTCCACATGGCTGTTAGGATGTTTCCCCTTCCTCTTGAAGAGAAGTGCATCCGTGTCCCTGCTTACTGTTGTTTGGTCTAGCGGACAGGACATCAGACTCTTCTTGAGGCTCACCATGTGGCTTTGACCAATGTCTTGGGGGACCCAGCTGTTGAACAGAGAAGTTCTTGTAGACCTGCTGTTGTAAAACGATTTGACAGCTGTGCCTGCGGGCAGGTCTCATGGCGGGGTGTTACCCCTGATGTGTATGGGATTTCATTCCCTCTATGGAGGACAGTTCTTCTTTAAAGGTTCTGAGAAAGAAGTTTGAACTGAAATGGATGCATGGAAGGGCTTCTGTGAAGAGCAGGTGAAAGGAGAGCTGTCATATAGAAGTAGGAGGAACTGTTTTAGAGAACTTCTCCTTGGACAAGACTAGCTTACGAAAGCTTACATTTCAAAATGCAGCTGGATTTGTTTTCATTTCACTGGCATTTCTTTTGTGAATGGTTGTGTATCTCTGTGTGTTTGCACCTGTATTGCAACAGGAATTATCATTATATAAAGCACTTCATTATTCGACTGAGTCCAGGTTTCCATGACAATATCTCTGTGAAACTGCACTTTCTTTCCAACAGAGGAGAAGTACACCGTTATTTACCCATATACTGCAAGAGACCAAGATGAAATGAACCTGGACAGAGGGGTTGTGGTAGAGGTGATCCAGAAGAACCTGGAGGGCTGGTGGAAAATCAGGTACCATCCCTACCTTTTTCTCTTCCCCCTGCAAGGGGCTGTACAAAGGAGAGACCTGATGTGCCTGGGATGTACAGTCCAAAGGCGAGTCTGGGGTATCGGGAAGGGCAGAGTGCTGGAGCTCACTTCTCTCCATCCTTGCAAACTAAGGCTAGCTGGCGTTCAGAGCTTCAGCCAAGCATAGCTGTGGTTAAACACCTTTAAAACTCCCCAATTTCCTGTGCTGGGAGGTGGACTGCATCACATGGCCCAGCAGTGCAAAGGGAACTGGTGTGAGAGCATTAGTGTTACATCACCTGCTGCTGATAGGAAAACCAGTGAGTGTCCTGGAGGCAGGCTGGATCCTCTGGCTGTGTTAGGAGGCTGCTGTGGAGAAGGGCCATTGTCCCAGCCAAGTCTGCTCTGTGCAGGGTGTGCTGAGGCCAAAGACTCCAGACCATCCTGAGTCGATACTTGTTTTCTCATGGAAGCTCATTTTCTCTGGTCTGTGGTCTAGCAAATGGCCAGACTTGAGCAGGGTGGGAGCACATGGTGCAATTTTCTTAACCTTACATTGAACCTCTGGCTTTGGCAGTGGTAAAGCCCCAGAAAAATGTCCATTGACTTTTTAAGCAGAGGAGAGCTGCCACAGGAGTTCTAAAGGCAATTACAAGCTCAGTAGCTGGTGCCATCTGAGTATAGTGGCTGCAGCCCAGCCAGCGGGGAGAGTCTCTGACGTTGGCGTGGGACCCTCCAGCATGGCAGGGAGACTCTGTGGATGTGGTTTCTCAATCAGATCACAGGGCTGGTTTCTCTCCTGAACAGAGCAGATTTAGAGCAGGGAAGGGATCCAGGCTGCCGACGCTCAGGCAGTGCTTTCTCCAAAGACCAGGTACATCAATCCTAGCAGCAGTGCTCTGGTTTTCCCCTCTGCTTCCCCTGCCAGTGCGCATCATTCCTGAACTTTTTTTTGCTGCCATTGCCGAGGTGAAAAGGGAATTGAGCTTTGTGCCATTCCCAGCCTTTGGCCTGCTGGCTGTGACCAGCTTGCACGAGAGCCTTAGTCATGGCTGGAGCTCTCCATATGCCCACGTGCCATGGATCACAACACTGGGCAAGCTCATTTTGCAGTACCTTCAGTCAGTGCATGCCCTGAGCTCTGGCTCTGGGGGTGTCCAGTGGCTCAACACCACTCAAGTGCAGTGGGTCACTCCTCTGGGAAGGGCTCATGGCCCCGGTGCTGCACGTGAGGGCTCTGCACAGTGACGCTGCCATTGTCACCACCACAGGTACCAGGGCCAAGAAGGCTGGGCCCCCGCCTCCTACCTCAAAAAGGGGAATGGAGAGATGTTCTCACAGAAGCTGGGGTCAGGCTCCTCTGCTCATTCGTGTGCCTTGGATCTGGATGGCATCTCCCGGCAGCAGGTCGTGGCAAGCCGAGAGAAGGATGGACTCGCTGGCCAAAGGGACGGGAGATTTGACAGCCGTCCCCTGCCGAATGCTGACATCCGACGCAGTAAGTGGCCAGTCGGGAGGAGTGGTGGCTGGGGGCTGGGTGTGGCTGGGGTGTCAGTGAAGACTTCCCTGCAGGTTTTGGGGCAACATAACGGGGTGTGAGGAAGGCACAAGGCTTGCAGGTGCTCTGAGCTCTGCAGCAAGGTCTGGAGGTGACATGGCACAGGCATGAGCACAGTGCTGCCCAGGGACCTGCTGAGGATCAGAAAACGTGATGGGGATAAAAGCCTCCCCCTCCCAGACTGCTCTCCTCTCAGAAGTTGGGGCATTTTGACCCCTCTACAGGCCAGGTCTTCTGGGTCAAGCCTCCTGCAATGAAAAAGCAATTTCATGTGGTGACCTCAGCTGCATTTCCCAGCAGCACCTGATGGTGCAAAGCTGGTTCCTCTTCCAGTGGGTGCCATCAAAACCTGGGTGACCCATGCCACTCAAGAGTACTGGGCAGACAGGTTCTCCCTTCAGCGTCCTTGCCCATGGGGCAGGCTTGGTCCTTGCCTTTCTATTTTCTCTTTCACTTGTCTTTTGTGAACATACTGTAACCAAAAGCCAGAAACTCAACAGCATGTGGAATTCTTCCTCCACAGAGTCACCAAAGATGAGGCAGAGACCCCCTCCTCGCCGTGATCTCACCATAGTAAGTGCCAGCTGATGTAGGAGAGCAGCAATGGCAAAGGGAGGCAGAGAGGATCACTGAAAGGAGCTCTGGTCACTGGTTATTCTTTGCCTGGGGTCTTACCCCTGTACTATGAGCTCTGCTCTTGGTCAAGGCTGGAGTACACATGCTGCCTTCTGCAGCTGTCCTAAGACTTTTCTTTGCATGTGGTCTTTAAATGAGGTTTTGGCCAGTCTGTCCCCCAAGGCTGGGTCACCAGTGGGAGGCTGCAGACTGGCTCCCTTCTTCTGGGGAGGGTAACTCTGCTGTTGGCAAGAGCTCTGGTGCTGAGAAATTATCTGCTTGGGCTGGAAATGGTTTGCTGGTTTGTGTTGGTGAGGGTGCTGCATGGACACAGCTGATCCCCCTGGCCTGGCCATGCTGGCTTGTGTCTCTGTGGGTTGGTGCTCTGTATGAATGTTGTGTTGCACCTTCTATAGAAACACACCAGGGTTTTCTTTTTTCTTACCACAGCCACGTGGTTTGCACCTGCCTAAACCTCCTGTCCCTCCTCAAGTGGAAGAGGAATATTATACCATCGCTGACTTCCAGACCACCATCCCTGATGGCATCAGCTTCCAGGCAGGAATGAAAGTAGAGGTGAGACTGGCATCTTCCTTTCTCACATTTTCACGTCAGTGTGGCACTCCTGACTCCCGTTGCCCTGGGGCGTGTTTCAGGCAGAAGCTCCCTTTCCATGCAGGGAAGATCTGCTCACCATGGTGTTCTGAGTGGAAACCGGGCATGGTGGTGCATGTGATTGCCTCTGTGGACTGTTAACATCCCAGGATTCTCTTAGAGTAGGAGAGAAACCTGTATGAGCTCATGAGACTTTGGAGGCCCTGGTGCTCTTGGTGGCCTCCTGTCCCCCGGATGTGTGGGTGCTGTGTTATCTGAGCTAGTGCAAATTAAAACCATATCACAGGCAGGGGTAGAGATGGTGGTTTTTTCTTTTTTAGGCCAGGTGTAAAGTTAATCATAGAATCATAGAATGGCTTGGGTTGGAAGGGACCTTAAAGCTCATCCAGTTCCAACCCCCTGCCATCAGCAGGGACACCTTCCACTAGACCAGGTTGCTCAAAGCCTCATCCAACCTGGCCTTAAACACTTCCAGGGAGGGGGCATCCACAGCTTCTCTGGGCAACCCGTACCAGTGTCTGACCACCCTCACAGAGGGTTAAAAGCCCTTCCAGAACTGCTTTCCTAGCACACTCGCTTTTGCTGATGGAATCTCTCTTGCAGATGTGGTTTTACTTTTCACGGTGGAAGCCGTGCCTCTCTAAGAGAGTTTTTCCTTTCCGGCTGCCCCGGTCAGCTCCTCCCCGGTCCCAGCCCCACTTAGGAGCAGGCAGCGGCCGGACAGTCACTGCTCCATTCAATATCGCTGCCGGTTTGTCGCTCCAACAGTGCCGCGCAGTGGCCACCGCCAGTAACCAGCATCCTGGTCCTGTCTCCTGGGCTGGATGGTGACAGCTCAGCCACAGCTCCTTGACTTGACTATGTCATTCCTTGGTCCCATGGCACGCAGGTCCCCTTTCCTGGCAGAGGTCATTAGCAGATTCCCCTCCTATTAGGATACCAGTTCTGTGATGACATGACTTTTTGTTACCAGGACAGGGAGGCACCAAGGCCATCTGCCACCCTGACATCATTTCAGACACCCAGCATCCCCTCTTGTGCAGAGGGGGCTCCTACATGAATGTCTGAGGTTTCTTTTCCCCTTGGCAGGTTATTGAGAAGAACCTGAGTGGCTGGTGGTACATTCAGATTGAGGAGAAGGAAGGCTGGGCCCCCGCCACCTTCATCGATAAGTACAAGAAAACCAGCAATGCATCCAGGCCGAATTTCCTGGCTCCACTACCCAACGAGATGGCCCAGCTCCGGCTCAGCGATGTCACAGCCGACAGCAGCACCAGCGAGGAAGTGACGGGACCGTGCCGTCCTCTGCCGGAGGCTCCTCCTAACGGTATGGACTGTGGTGGGAAGTGGACCAAGGACTGGAAGGGGAAGGAGGCTCCCGGGAGTGGGGACCTAGCCTTTGCTGGTGGCTACGAGGAGATCTCGGACCGTGACCCAGAGGAGAAGCCCAGCCTGCCGCCCAGGAAGGAGTCCATCATTAAATCGGAAGGCGAGTTACTGGAGAGGCAGAGGCCTCCCCCCAAGCCCCCAGGCATGATTTTGCCCATGATCCTACCCAAGCAGTCGGTGACCCCGAAGGACAGCAAGAAGCCCGAGCTGAAACCAGAGAAGAGTAAACTCTTCCAGCTGAAAAACGAAATGGGACTGGAATGTGGACACAAGGTATCAGCCAAGGAAGTGAAAAAGCCAAACCTCCGGCCTATTGTCAAGCCAACCAAGCCAAAAGCTGAGCCTGTGGAGGATAAGCCTGAACCCATTGCCCAGAATCCTTTCTTGAAGTCAAGACCTCAGATCAGGCCAAAGCCCTCTGCAGCCCCCCGGACTGACCCACCTCCAGCTGATGATAAACTGGACATTTGCAGCCTGCGGAGCAAGCTTAGACCTGCAAAGTGCCCAGAGAAACCCTCCGAGCAGGACACAGCTGCTGGCGAAAGCTCCTTCAGTAATGCCATGGTCTCTTCAGAGGCTTCTGGAAGGTGTCAGGAGCGACCAGGCATGGAGAGCAAACCCCTGCCCAAGCTGGACAGCCACGCCGCAAAAGAGGTGCTGCCAAAATCTCCCCTGGGCCCAGCAAACACCCCGGGTGCCAGGGACCCCCCACCACAGCGCCCCGTTGTGCCACTCACCCCCCCCAAAGAAAACGGGGGCTCCTGCCTCCAACCCCGCAGCAGAGCTCAGGGCCCCGGCACGGGAAGCGCCTGAAATCAGGTCGTCCCCGGTCCCGGGGAGGCCCATGCTGGTTCCTCCAAAAGCCAAGCCGTTCCTCTCTGCCTCCATCCAAGATGAAGCCAAAGTGAAAAGCAGCATAAGCCCAAAGGTCATATCCAAGCCAGTGGAGAGAGGGGAAGCCAAGGAGAGGACCTCAGCTCCTGTCTCCAGTCCGGACGTCTCCAGGGAAGCTCTCTACGTGGCAGTGGCGGGTTTTGAAGGTGACGAGGAGACCAACAGTTTTAAAGAAGGGACTTTGTTCGAAGTTCACGAGAAGAACAGCAGCGGCTGGTGGTTTTGCAAGGTCCTGACTGGGGGGCCATGCTGGGAGGGCTGGATCCCTTCCAATTACCTACGGAAGAAGCCCTAGCTGCTCCTCTGCTTGCACGGCTGAAGGTTCCCTGGTCTCTCACCTGAGTATTTAATTAGCAGATTAATTTATAGTTTTCCATGAGGCTGACTTTAAAAAAGAGATAATAATTGAAATCCCACACATCCCAGCTGGTGCCCATTGGCAGCAGTGTGGAGGAAGCAGCTCGGCCTCCCCTCCCCACCCGTGTGCTCCCACCTGCCCCCTTTCCCAGATCCCCTCCCAAGCACCGTGCTCCCATGGCCATGCCAGCAGCCCAGCTGGCCCAGCTTCGTGGCTTATGTTGGCTACCATGGTTCTCTTCGCTGGGAAATGGACCTTAATAGACATCTTTACCACCTATACAAGGAATTCAAAAGAAATATGAGAAATGAAGTGTGGAACCGTAACAACAAAGGTTATCTGGATGCACAAAAGGATTCGCCTTTCCCTGAGGTTCAGGTTCACGGTCAAGTGTTGAAGGTCACGTTGCTTAGTCCAGGTGTGTAGCAGAGCCGTAGGGAACATGGCAAAAAGGAGGAATGATTGCGGAGAACAGGGTCCCTGTAGCCCTGCATGCACATGCAGGCACAGGCATTGCGCTCTGGTTAAGGGCTGTGCCTTGCTCCTCGCCCCATACATGGCACGGGACTGTCCCTTGGTCCTTCCCTGCTCTACAATGACAAGTGTTAACTTCAACATCCTCCTGGCAGAAAAAAAAATATAGAAAAATACACAGACGCGCGCACACACACGCACACATAACAGGTCTTCTCTGTGCTGATCCAGGACGCTATGCAGGCTTCTCCCTTGCAGTATTGCAACCAAACGAGAGGTATTTTGCTTCGGTAGCTGAAGAATACTATGCAAGGCACAGAGGACCAAAATGATCCCAAAAGCCCTGGAAAGAAGATGCTTTGCTTTCCTTCTCACACAGACTGCCCTGCCTGTTGGACTAACGGGACCACCCGTTCCCAGGACCCACAGAGCTCCCCCGGGCTGGCGGGCAGCAGCCAGGAGGTGGGTCCTTCAGTAGGTGCTGATATTATCAAGTGCAATCCAGAGTGTGGGAGTTCAGCTCCTCATCACCACCAGTTGCGAGGCATGTCTGGTGCTCAGGGGCTCCCTGCCTTGTTTGTCACCCCATCTGCCTGTCTTCCAGGTACTTTCATTTCATCCTGTGTGGCAGGCTGTATGGGGAGCTTCGGGTCAAGCAAAGCCTGAGGTTTTTCCATGTTGACGTTCCTGCCTGCCAAGCCTTATCTTACCTGCAGTGTTGCTTATCCCAGCAAAAGGATTAGTGTGGATGAGCTGTCATTCCCAGTGTTGCTTTTTTCCCTTCTGTACTTGCCTACTTGCAGATTCATGGCCACATTTCTCTCTCTGGAAGAGCTTTAAACCCAGCACTTCTGTAGGTTTGATGTTGACCAAGTCCCTTTGCCCTTTCTGGTCTAATTGCAAGTGTAAGCATTGCAGCCACAGCTCCACATCCACATTGTTTTGCTGCTGAAAAAAAATTATAGTTTTCCCTGTAATTTGAGTCTGGAGTGTTCTCCACTCCCCCAGGTGCTCACTTCCTTTTCTGTCCCATATTTTCTACCCTGGAAAAGTGGAGTTGAAGATACTTCTGTCTGTGTACAGAATGAAAGTGATGGTGCCTCAGGCCAGGGTCATTCTGGGAGGATGATGGGGCAGTTTGTCCCAGCTCTGGTTTGATCTGATAGAGAAGCCCCGACCATCCCAGTCCAGCCTCATATCCAGAAGCCCCAGGGTTCATTTCTAGCCATGGGAATGCATGCACTCCTGTCTCTGGCTGATTCTTCTCACTCCCACCTATGGTATCTCTGGTGGCACGTCACCCTCTGATCAGGCTGACTCACCTGAGCTGGCAACTAGCTATACATCTGCAACCCAATCCAATAACCAAGTTCCTTGTGTGGCACATTGCAAGGTGTTGATGTGCTCTTGGGAGAGTTGCAGGGTGGGTTGGGGGAACAATGATGCCTTGTCTCTGCACATCTCTTGCTCCAGTAAATCCCTTTTGCTTTGGAAAGGGATGGGGACAGGATGAGTTAAGCCAGAGCTGCCCAGTGGCCAAATCCAGCCCCTACTGGATCTGGGGAGGGGGCTGGACCTGTGTCCCCTGTCCACTCTGGCAGTTTCACACAGGGGGTGGCAGGGCTGTGTGCCCTTTCCCTGTGGTACTGTGCCCTTGCTCTCTCTTTGCTGAATGGCCTTTTAATCTCAGAAACATCTCTCCTTTTTCTTAGAGACCTCACTGCCCCTGGCTTTCCTCAGAAGGCACAATGTTATTTCTGTTGCCTCCTTACTAAATGAGGGCTATTTCTGCTTTCCTCCCAGACTGAACCTCAGAACTGGTAGCGTTTCATTTTGCTGACACAAGTACTGTATTTGGCTCATTGAGCACGTGACAGGATTGCTCCTTTGTTCCCAAAGAGCTTCCGAGAAGGCAGGGTGAGTGCCCAAGGTGGGGGTCACCCACAGTAGGGTGCCAACACCTACAGCCTTACCCTTTCCTTCTGCTTTTCTGTCTGTGAAGGGACTGCAGGCTGGACAACGAGTCCCATCAGGAAGATGCTGAGAAGCCATTGGGCTAGCAGGGCTTTGCCCTCCCCTGTCCAACACGTGCCCCCAGGTTCGGCATCCGCGCGTGCCCTCTGCCAGGCTGCGCCTCCTCTCTGTACGTCAAATGCAGCCAAGCTCCCTGAATACCTCGTGAGGAGGAGGAGGGTGGCTGGGAGGCCCAGTACCTCCTGAGCTTGGCCTTAAGGCGCATCACCCCATCAGCCAAAGACCAACCTCCCTCCTTGCCCTCTGCCAGCACAGCCCCAAGGCCAGGGCTTGAGGCAAGG